AGGTCGTAAAGAGTTGGACACGACTGAACAACTTTCACTTTCAATAATAAAAAATACTTGTATTTTGGTACTAATTTTATACTTAGAGGGAAGTGATAGCTTAAATGAATATATTAGAAAGGAAGTTATAAAATTCTAAAAAGTTAGGAAAAATAACAGCAAATTATATCAAAGAAAAGATACAATAACTATAGCAGGAAAAGTTTGTAAAATAGAAATTAAATAGATAATAAAAGAGATGAACAAAATCAAAAGTTGTTTTCCTTAAAAGACTAATAAAATTGACAAACCTGAAAAGACTAGTCAAGGAAAAAGAGAGGGAACACAAATTATCATCATCACAAATGAAAAAGGGGACCTTACTGTAGATTATACAATATAAAAAATAAGATAGTTTTTGAACAATTCTAAACAAATCTGAAAATGTAGAAGAAATGGACAAATTCCTTAAAAAAGAAAACCTACCAAAACTGACAGAGAAAGAAATAGAAAATATGAATAGTCATGTTAATAAAGAAATTTATTCCATTAAAATTTTCCCTTATAAAAAACTGTAGGCACAAACAGCTCCCTTAGTGAATTAAAAATTTTTTTAAGAAGGAATTATTGTCATGCTTATACCAACTATTCCAAAGAAAGACAAATTGGATATTATGAGAATTAAAATTTTACATGCCAATTTTATCATGAGCAGAGCTATAAAAATTTTTTTTTAAAATTAACAAATCAAATGCAGCAGTATGTAAAAGGATAATACAACATGATAGAATTGTATATATTGTAAGAATGTGGATTTATTCACATTAGAAAATCAGCATAATTCACTATCAAAATAAATAAGAAAATTCTTAGGTAATTTAAATACACATAAAAACCAAGTATTTGATAAAATCAGACATCTACTTATAAAGAAGAAACTCTCCTACAAATAGAAGAGATAGCAAACATTTGGTAAAATACTGAAAGTTTTCCCATTGAGACTGGGGAAAAAATAAGAGTCTTACTGATAACCCTCCTAATCACCATTATAGTGGCAATCTTAGCCAGGTCAGTATGGCAGATTAATTATAAACATGATTCCATTTTCTATCTCTCCGTGTACCTATGCCTTTTGTAACATATCTGACTTGGCAGCACCTCCCATCAAGAGATGGATTCTATTATCTACCTCGAATCTGGGCTAGCCTTGTATTTTGCTTTGGTTTAAAGAATGTGGTGGAATTGACAATGTGCCAGTCCTTAAGAGGCATCTCTCTCTTTTGGAGACAGACACTGCCACTGGGGATAACAGCAAATTGAAGGATGAGACCACATTGAATAGAACTAAGTTAGCCCAGCTGTCCCTGCTGTGGCTCTAGATGTGTAAAGAACCCAGCCAACATCAGTAAAGCTGCTTAGCTGACCTGCAGCTAATTTCAGATGCACAAGTGGGCCCTGGCAAGAACAGCTCAAATAACAGAAACATTCAGTTAACCCATAGACTTGTGAGAAATACATGGTTGATTTGGGTGGTTTATGGTGCAGCAATAACTAATAGAAACAGGCAGTGAGTCAAGAAAAAACAAAGTATAAATATTGAAAAGGAAGAAAAAGTCTATAATTATTTGCAGAGTGTCTAACTTTATATGTAGAGAATCCAATTGGAATCCATTATTGGAATTAATGAGTAAATTTAGCCACATTGCTAGATCTCAAGTGCAAAATATCAATTGCACTTCCATATAAGGACAATGTCTTAGTCTGTTCAGTCTGCTGTGGCAGAATACCATAGACTGGGTAGCTTAAACAACAGAAATTTCTCTCTCACAGTTCTGGAGGCTAGGAAGTCCAAGATTAGAGTGCTGACAGATTTAGTGTCTGGTGAGAGCCTGCTTCCTGATTCATAGGCAGCTAGCTACCTTTTCACTGTATCCTTACATGCAGAAGAGGCAAGCAAGCTCTCTGGGATGTGTTTTATAAGGGTATTAATTCCATTCATGAGGGCTCTGCTCTCATGAAAGTGAAAGTGAAGGTCGCTCAGCCATGTCCAACTCTTTGACCCCATGGACTATACAGTCCAAGGAATTCTCCAGGCCAGAATACTGGAGTGGATAGTCTATCCCTTCTCCAGAGGATTTTCCTGACCCAGGAATCAAACTGGGGTCTTCTGCTTTGCAGGCGGATTCTTTACCAGCTGAGATACCAGGGAAGCCATGACCTAATCACTTCTTAAAGGTCACACCATCAAATAAATTGGGGATTAAGGTTTCAGCATACAAATTTTGTGGGTACATAAACATTTAGTCCATAGCAAGCAACAAATGGAAATTTTTAAATAAAAATTACATATGATACAAATTACATATGGTACATAGGAATACAACTGACAAAATATGTATAAGATTTCTCACATAAAACTCTAAACCATTATTGAGAGAAGAAATAAATAGAAGGATATATCATGTTCATGGATTGAAAAATCCAATATTGTATACATGATAATTCCTTCTAAATTGACTTATAGACTCAAGATAATTCCAAATAAATCTCAACAGGCTTTTTTTCCTCTAGAAGTTGACTAATTCTACAATATACAAAGGGACCAAACTAATCACAGGTGTTTGGAAAAGAAAAACAATGTTGGAAGATTTGCTCTGATATATACTAAGACCTATTATGAAAGTATGGCATTTAAGGTAAGGATAACAGAGAGCTCAATGGAATGAATAAGTATCTGGAAACAGGCCCATGAACACTTGGTTTATGTAAATAGTAGTAATTTAGAACAGTAGGAAAAGGATGGCCTTTTCATTAAATGGGGCTGAGACAACTGAGTATCTATTACAGAAAACCTGAAAATTGACCCTTACTTTCTACCATTCACGAAGTCAGTTCTGTGTGGGTTGAATATCTAAATGTGACAGGCAAAGCAATTAATGCTTCCTGAAGATACTAAAGGCAAATGTCTTTATGACCTTGTTAAGTAAAAGATTCTTAACAGGCTATAAAAGAGCACTAATCAAAAAGGAAAAGATTGATATGTTGTACTATGTTAAAGTGACAAACTTTTTTTTCAATCAAAAGGCTTTTTAAGAAGAAGAAAGGGCAAGCCACCTAGTTGAGGAATTATTTGCAACACATATAACTAGCAATGTATAATACATTCCTCAAATTAAAGGAAAAATATCAGTCAATAAAAAACAGACATGTAGCAAAAGGAGATATCTAAAATGGCCATTAAACACATATAAATATGCTCAATATCATTATTAGTCAGTGATGTGTGAGCTATAATCACAGGAAGACCCTACTATAGACTTGTCAAAGTGCTCATATGAAGAAGACTGATCACAGCCAGAGTTGGTGAGAATGCAGAACAATGAAAGTGAAAGTGAAGTCGCTCAGTCATGTCCGACTCTTTGCAACACCGTGGACTGTAGCCCACCAGACTCCTCCATCCATGGGATTCTCCATCAAGAATACTGGAGTGGGCAGAACAATGGGGGCTATCTTATACTACCAGAATAACTATAAATTGGTACATCACTTAGGAAAAAAGTTTGGCATCATCTACTGAAGTGAGGGTATGTGTACCTTGCTGCTGCTGTGTACCTTAGGATCCTATAATTCTAATCCTAGGTATATAGCCAATAGAAAGGCATGCAAATATAAACTAAGAGACATATACAATAATGTTGTGGTAGCAATTTGCAAAACAGACCCATATTGGAAACAATTCATATTTGTCTATCAAAAGTATAATGGCTAAATAAATTATGGCATAATTATATCCTGGAATACTACACAGTCATGAAAATGAATGAACTACATTTACATCCCATAACACAGATGAACTTCACAAATATAACATTGAATAAAAAGAACAAGGCCCTCTCAAATTACATACTATGTGATTCCATTTATATAAAGTTTCCCAAATCTATCTATAAAAGATAAAACCAAACTGTAGTGTTTAGGGATACCTGTAAATGGTAAAACTATGAAGAAGATCAAGGAAGTATTTACCATAATGTCATGAGAGTGCTTCTCTTTGGGGAGGTAGGTGGGGGTAGTAGAGATTGGGAAGGAGGAGTCTTCTAGGGTGCTGACAGTGCTCTGTTCTTGACTGCAGGAGTGGTTACATAGATACTCATTTTCTGATAACTTATTGAGCTAAGTCTTCTGATTTGTGCCTATTTCTGTATATGCACTATATTTAAAAATTAAGTTTAGAAAGGGGATGGAGGCATATCTGCAGATGAACCAAAATGGGGGAAGAAACAGCAGTTAAGAACATGAACACCAATGGTTTTCATGAAGTTTTAAAATACTGTTCTACTATTCTTGGAATTAGTTCTATTTGTCCAAGGATCATTATTCTATTTGTCTTGATGTTACCCTTCGGTCTTCTGGTTTTCTTCATGTCAGGCATTCTCACAGAGCTACTGTCTTGAGTCAATGGCACAAAACAATAGGTATTTAATTATATAATTTAAAGTTTAAAAGGTAATCAACAACAATTTAAACACAAAATTGTAAGCACTGGAAGAAGAGGGGGGTGAAGAAATTGAGATAAATGCACATCTTTCATAGAGGGGAGAATAGATATTGTCTAAAATGATAAATCAACATCAAAGCAAATTATTCAGAGACATGATGGAAACCATTAAAAGAATTAGAAAGAATTTTTAAAAATGACTGCTTCTGGGAGAGGGACTAAGTTTGGGGCATTGAGAAGAATGCTCTGGAGTGTTTGACTTTTGCTTTGTTTTTGCTATATGCACATTACCTTCATAAATCTAGTAAGACATCTATGAGATTCCAGTTTGCATCATTCTCATCTAGAGATTTAAGAATTGCTCTTTGAATTTGTGGCATTATAACTAGTCAAAGAATAACATCTATAGTCTATCTTATCTATGCAGTAGCTGATAATGAACATCATTTCTAAAGTACTGTTAGGAGCTATGATATTACTGAAGCAGTTATTCTATATGACCAGTTATTTTAGAGCTTCTGAATTATGATTTTATAATTACTTTTTAAACTTTATTTATAGATATATTTTAATTAGAAACAAGCCTGTGTATACAATTGTACACAAATGGGAGATTATGAACATTTATATTCAACAGTTTGAACAGCTAACATTATCAAATCAAAAGTAGATGAATCAATGATGGAAGTGAAATTGCCAAAACTACTTATATTAATAATAATGTTAAAATCTATATATTCTATATACTATATTTTAAAAAATAAAATAAAATGCATTGTGTTTCTGCTCTATTTGCATACCTTATGAACATACATTTAGGGTGAAGATCTGGAAAAAAGATCAAGACTCATTTTTTAAACAGTAAACTTTAACTATTGAATAATTGGCTCTATTTCTTTTTTTTTAATGTTACAATTTCTGAGATCTTTAAATGCCTCATTTCATCATTTGTGTTTGTAAAATGCTTATTAGAACTCTCCCCTTTAAAACTTTGGTAACAATTATTTTTTCTATTTCCTCAAGTTTATTTTTTTCAAAATCTAGGTACTCCCATGTATACTATCGGCCAAATATTTTTTAAAGTAGAAAGAATATTAAGAACATCTTTTCTAGAGAAAGGGTCTTGTTAGATTTTCATATCACACAGCAGTCTCACATATTGTTTTGCACAGTAGCTACTTAAAAGAGTTTGTTGCATTGGATCACACTGAGTCATATATGATATAGTATGATTAAACAGGACTAGTCCAAGCTTCAATGAAAAATCAGAGCTTATGGTATAAGAAAAGTGATCAATCACATATAATTGAAAGTAACTTCAGATATGTCTGTGTAACTAAATCTCTCCACTCACTCAAGGGTGGGCATGTCCTCCTGTGCTGGGCACTGTGCTAGACTCTGTGGCCACAAAGATGGACGAGACAAGATGTTTCCTCTGCAGCTACCCATGGCCTCATGGAGACAGTCAACCAGGGAATGGACAGTAACAAAATGATGTGACACGAACTCTGATGGGTCCAAATTTTCTTTCCAATTCATTCCTTTCTTTTTACTGTCAAGGTGATAAAGGTGTCTTAGTAAGGTGGAATAAAGAAGCAAAGCTTAATCAGAATAATAACTAGAAGGAGAGGGGTTCATTTGCCTGAAAGGTTCAGAATTTTTCCCCTAAGCATGAAACATTATCCTGGCCTCAGAGACCTTGAGTGTATCCCTCCAGGATGGGGGCACTCAGTAATGAAGCCCTAACCCTTTGGTGAGGTGGGAAGGATAGAAAAGACCAGCAAAAGGAAAGAGGATGCAGTGCAGAGGTGACGAGGAAAGGGACTCCTTGATTTTCACAGGGGCAGATTCTGCATGGAACGATGTGGTAGGAAAAATAAAGAAATATCATCAGTGTCCTCAGGTGAGATTGTTACTCTCATAGATATTGGGGCATGAATTATGGGTATTGCTGTAGTGGAGATGTGCTCATGTCCCACAGGGACTCAAGAGTTAAGAAAAGGAGGGGTTGCCCAGCTCAGGCTACAGAGCAGATGTTGCGGGAGAGGGGAGTAGGTGATAGAGGTTGGAGAAAATGGTTTGGAATCTGAAAATTGTTCAGTAAGTCTCCAGCACAGACCACATGTCCAAAGAAGTTGATCCCATTGCACCTTTCTTATTAAATGATAGTCATTGAATTACCATGATTGTTCTTACCCTCAACAGACTTGGGAGGCAGAAGGTATAGCTCAGGGTTGAGCAAAAGATGCCCCTTTTGAAGATGAAGAGAAAAAGAAAGGGTGGACTGAGTTGTCTTCCTCAGGGATACAGTCCACAGGTGACAGAGATTTGTAATATTCATCTTCCCCATCAAGCACTTTGATTTGGCTGCAACAAAGGAAAGAGTTTCAGCAGCAGAAGAAAACAAGTGCAGCAGTCATCAGTGGGGCAGCTGAAATTGTGTGAGTTCCTGGAACGGGGCTGGGCCCTCACACTGGGTGGTGGGGCACAGCTTAGCGTAGCTCAGGGTCTCCCAGCACAGAAACTGGGGTCTGAGTCACAAAGCCGCTCACATCTGGGTCACACACTAATAATGGGCCCGATTTAGTGGTGTCTGGAAGTTGTGATCATACTGCAGTTTGATTTATGTGAACTAACTTGTCTGGTTCCCTCTAGATGAGAAAGTTCCCCTCCGGACCATCTTTAGCTCTCAAACTACTACCAATTACCTATCTCACTGCTATTCGAGACACTAACAGTCAAATCAGCCACAAACTCTGTGGTGCCTCCTGGCTAATCATTGGGAGAAAATTTCCTCTTTGTACCTTTAAGGCTCAAGGGTAGAGGAATGTGGAGGAAGGAGTATTTGCACTACATGGAGTGCTCTGATTGTGGGACAGCTTTATACAGCCCAATACATGTCTCAAATTATAAGGACAGTATAATTCCCTGGATAATTATGAGAAATAACATTTACTTTTTGGTGGCAATTTCAGTCTTTTCAGACAGAATAAATTCAAGTTTTGTGTACTTGCTACTGTGAA